TAGTAGTAGTAGTAGTAGTAGTAGTAGTAGTAGTAGTAGTAGTAGTAGTAGTAATTTGATTTATATACTGCCCATCTGGCAGCCAGGGCCACTCTGGGCGGTTTACAACAGATAAACAAACAATAGAATAACAAAATAATACACATACAAAAGAATAATACATTTGGGACATAAATCAAATATCATAAAGTGCAGTGAAAAACAAATACAATACAATAAATTACAATTAAAAGCATAAAATATAAAAGACAAGAAGCATGTCAGTGTGATAGATGATATCTTGCTCCTTTATCTGCTCAGACCCATCTTGGCTTCTATTTTGCAGTTACTACAATGTGGGGAAAGCAGAATCAAATGTTTGGAAATTGCTTTTTTGTTGACCAGGGATGTAGGGCATGTGACTTTCCAGATGATGTTAATGAGCAACTCCCATAATTCTTTACCGAGTGTATAGAGATAAATCACTCCTTCTCCCTTTAAAATATATATATCCAAATATACATATCTGTGTTGTACTGTTCATAGATTTACACATGAAGGCATAGACTTTTGCACACATATGATCAATCACAATTGATGTAGTAAGTGGTATACTTTGTAGGAGTACATCATACACCATTACCTATATGTCTGTGTGCAGTCAAGACATTGCACCAGAAATGCTGGATTCTGTGATAGTTGTAATTGTTTTCGGCTTGCATCCTTTGCTCTTTTAAAAGTGGTTCTACTTTAGACACTTAAGGAAGAACAAGGAACTGGTGGAGATGATGAACTGCAGGAGAGGCCTGGATGTCCAGATGTTCAAATCTTCCCTCATCCCTGACCACTAGCTTATGGGAAATGGACTCCAACAACATCTGCAGGGATTCATGCTCCCCATCTTAGAGCTACAAGACACACACACACACAGAGAGAGAGAGAGAGAGAGAGAGAGAGTCAAAGTAGGCTCTGACTCAGACTGAATGAACAGAGGAAGAGGTGCGTGAAGATTTCCGATTTCATCCCTGGCACCTCTAGTCTCATCCCTTAACCATACCAGTTTGAAAGTGGTACAGCTACTTTCTCACTAATGGATCCACTTGACTGAAAAGCCTAGTAATATATGTGGTACAGCTACTTTCTCACCCATGGATCCACTTGACTGAAAAGCCTAGTAAGGGTGGTTATTGTCCTAATTAGCATAAACTCACCAGGCTTTCGAAGCAGTGAATGCCACTTCACTCCCTCCACATTTAATTTCTAAAAATGGTATTGAATTGTCATCTCCTCCTCCTCCCTCTCCCTCCCCTCATTAGTTGCTTAGAGCAACATGTCTTTTCCCCACCTCATTTTATCCTCCTAAGCCTACCCTATGAGACAGTTAGGCTGAAAGAGTGCTTGTTCTGCAGTCCCCTGCTGACCTTCATGGTTGCTCCTGATTTGAATCTGAGTCCTCCTCGTCATAACCCTTACTCTAGTTTTTAGCAGTTGTTTTGCCCCTGTAAATTGCTTGTGTACGTGCCTGCAGACACCTGCAGTTCTAGCAGGCAGGCACCGAAAATGTATAGCCACTGGTATTTTGTTAGGTCTGCTCCTGTCCACGGCCTCCATCCCTGTCCTTGTTAACATGTGACAACAGAATGAAATTTGGAAAGGTAGAGTGCCATCCACCCAGTGGCGTTCTTAGGATGTTGGAAAATATTTGATCATGATGAGGTAGCAGGCAGAGAATCAACCAACTGGCCAGGGTATCAACCCCATTTTAAGGCAGCCTCCCACAATGCATTGCCTTCCCATGTTCAAGTCTATCTCGGGAGCCAGAGAAGTAGAAACTTAAACATCTAGGCCAAATTCTATTGGGATATTTTTTCTGCATATGTCAGGCAGTTGAGTCTAATTACATGTGATGTTTGTGTCGCTGTTGGTAAAACCAGCACTTTCTTAATTAGCTGCTGCTTTTACTTCTGCTATTGCACTATGATGGACCTGGAGGGAAAAACATGTTAGCCCTGAAATTTTTAAGCTGCGGAGTTATATGCTTGGTACAATATGTTCCTTCTGGAATCAGATATTACAGTATTTAGAGATTATTGTTCCATATTTTTATTACAGTCATAGTTTGCTGTCATAAATGAGGTGGTGAAACTGCTTAATATTCATATGTTAACACCCATCACAATTTTTTTTTGTAATTTTGTAATTTGATTGTCAAATGTGTGTATTTGTGAGTTGTAGCACTTTTGATTACTTAGTTTTATATCCTGAGTTGGATCTTGGCTTGATTTTTTTTAATATTCCAGTTTACTCAAAAGGTTCAATACAGGTTTCAATGAACATAAGGTGGTTTTGCACATGAGATAGCAGGCATTACTAGTTTTATTTTACTACGCTGTTCCTTGCAGTGCACAGATATTTCTAGATAGGGATGCTTTGTTCATTTTGGCTGTTTCCTTTGCTTGAGGCTTACTGTGACTTGGATGAGTTGGGGTGAATGTGATTTGATGACTTGGAATATTGGCTTGCAATGGGCGTGTAGACCAAGTAATGGTTGGGATCCTTTTAGAGTTGCTGTAATTGTATCTAAGTATAAATGCCCATGATGGGTGCTATCCAAAAGATAATGTATGAAGTAATTGCAGTTAGTTTTCTACACACTTGTCTCCATGTGGATTGTAGAAAACCAATGTTACTGGTCTTGTGTGTAGGAAACGGCGATCTGTATCAATGGATCTGCATTTGCGTTTTGTGGGGGCTTGGTTTTGTATCTCCGGCATATGCTTGAGATGGTCCTTGACGTCTTGTGCTCTTTTTCTTATTGGGATAACATTAGTTGTGCATGCCTTCCCCAATCCAGTCTTGAAAACGGCTCACGTTGCTGGAATATGCCAGGCCAAATCTGCTTAATCTGATCCCTGGACTCCAATTACCTAATTGGATCTCAACTGAATGCTTTCCCCTCCTGTTCGCGACTGTAAAGGGGGCTCCTTGACATCCTTTATAACGTGGTCGAAGATGTGGTCATCTTCGCGGAGGAAGCAAACGCCGGCCCCGTTCACGAGCACTCATGAATCTGCCCGTCCCCTCCAGAATGTGCTCTGGATCTCCTCGTCGTTCCGCCTCTCCCTGAAACTCGACGGGGCCCGAAGGGAAGGGCCACCCGCTGCTCCAAAGGGTGAGGACCTGGAGGCGGGGCTTCCCTACCGTAGCTGCTCATCAGAAAACGGCGGCAGCAGCAGCAGAGGGAGGCGGAACCGCCTCCCCAGGTCAGTAGGCGTGACTCGCTTCTTTTTTCGCCTATCTGGGAGAAAGTAGCGGTGACGGATATCGGTGGGAGCCAATGGGGTGGCGACGAGGGTGGGGCGGCCGAGGTGTCGCCCAGATGGGAGCGGAGCGGCGTTAAAGAGGTTTTTGTTCCGGGCCCGGCCGCCGCCATCTTGTGTCAGAGCGGGTCGGAGGAGGAAGCGGCAGCAGCAGCAGCAGCGCAGAGCGGTGACTCGGCAGCAGCAGCGGCCGCGGCGGGGCCTGACACAGCCTCATTGGTAACTTCCAGGGCTTTCTTTTCCCCTTCCCGCCTCCTGTTTCCATAGAAACAAGAAAACCTTCCCAGGGATGCTTGTCTCCATAGAAACGGGGACACCCCCCCTTTCCCTCTTGGATCCCTCTTCGTTCCACTGAGGGCCTCAGCTTGTTTCGCTGACGTTGAACAGCATGATGGGCCCTTTCCCCAGTTCGCGTTAGCATGGCTGCCTCCCTTCTCCGCTGCCCCAGCCTCTGTGCCCTGGCCATAATGGCCACCCTTTCTTGTTTTTAGCCTCTTTCTTTTACGGCATCGGGGGCACAGAGGGAGCCAGACTCTTGAATCGGCCCTTGTCTCCAATGGAAAGTGCCCCTCCTCTCCTGCTTCGTTTGTGGGCTCGCTTTGATTCCGAGGTGGGCCGCCTGTGTTTGCCCTATACAGTACTGCTATCAAGATCGTCACCATTCCTATTTCTCCTTTCTCCATTCGTTACCTAGCGCAGCCTTAGAGATGATTGCATCGCCTAAGGCACATCCCCACGCGAGGGAGGGAGTGGGGATTTCAGAAAAGAGCACAGAATGAAAAATCTAGGGGCTTAGTACCAGCAGTATAGACAGATACTGGGGAAGGCCTGCTAATATCAGAGGCAGCTGGGACTGGTAATACATCTTGCTGAGGGAGATACCTTGTGAGGTTATCTTTGTCTTCTAGTATCAGTGGGAAGGGCTTTCCTGCTCATTCAAAGTACGGTGGAAAATAAATAAGGCGATTGGGTGTTTGGGATTTGTGATTTCAGTTAACTGTATTATGGATCTATAAAGACACTGAGAGCTGACTATTACAGATCCTTGGAGCGTGCTGGTAAATTTCAGGTCCTTAAAGCAACTTTACTCGCCAGATGGCTACATTTTACAAGCCAAGGTTCTTCCATTGGGGGAGGGAATTTCAGTAGGGTTGGCTAAAGGCAGGCTGATGAGTATTGCAAGCTCTTGGCCCATGCCCTGGTCCATGGGGTCACGAAATCGGACATGACTAAATGACTAAACAACAGCAACAATGGCACACAGTTTGTGAAAATCTGTCACCTAAAAGAAAGAAAAAACCAGATTCTATAATTGGGCATATATTTGACCTTTGGAAACAAGCTTTTCCTGTGAAAAGTTTGGGATAGCCCCCTTAAGCTGGAGTGCATGAAAACTCGTGCCTTTGATTTTCTGTTGGTTGTGCACTTCATTTAAAGAGCCAGATTTGTTTCAGATGGAAAGAAGAATGTTTACACTTGATTTTGGTATTTCATCTGTAGTGGAATGAGAAATACATTTTGCTTATTGTTAAGGGCCCTATTAAGTGTTTGATGGAAAGTCAAATTTGTTTCTGACTGTGATAAAATTCTTCCTTGGTGCTTCACATATATCTAGGTGTGGTGTATAGCCACTCCAGCCACTATCTTTTTCAGGTAATCCTCTACTCACAAAGAACATGATCAGCCTATCTGCCTGCGTATGTGTGTCACAGGGCAGTTGTAATGTGGGTCTGGCAAGCTGCTACTGGGAAGGCATTGTGACTGGCTTGCCTTGGGCAAGAGGTTAATTAGAAGATTGTGCTACTTTGGTGACTCTTCAATGGCAGCCTTCACTTGGAATGTGTTTCTGTGTTCAGAATGATGCTGACTGCCTGGGTATGGCTTGTGGCTCCTGTTACCTGAAAATATACAATACATGCCCTGGCTTCCATGGCAATTTTTACATTATTAATTGTCTCTTCTGGCTAACTTCAACCTGAGACTTCATGTATGTTATGGGAGAGGGAGAATAAGGAGCCAAAAGTCCAGGTCTCATTCTTGGTTCTTGAAAGTGTTTATAGTAGACATAGAACTGATTTCTGTTAGGTTCCCTTGTTAATTCCATTTCCATCATTCTTCACTCCAATTAATGCCAAACCACTTGAACTGTACTGTCTTGCAACTCCTGCTGCCATGTTCTCAGTAATCTGATCAATATAAGCCAAAAGATTTGGGACTTAGGAATCTGCAGCGTTATTGCCAGTCCTGTATAAGGTGACATCCTGCATTTCTTCCTACCCTTCTATGGCATCTTAAGTCCATACTGTATTCCAAAATTCACATTGCAGTAACACCTTTATTAGGCAAACAAAAAAGGCACACACATTTGTATGGGTTTTCAGCAACTTTAGATTTGTTTCATGTTCATTACTTTCTGAAGATCTTGAAGGCTGACCCATAGTTTTGTGCTTTTTCATTTGGCCTTGTAAATCTGTTCCTGCAGTATGGATTTAGGACTTTTTCTTTTCATCTTTTGCCTCTTTCAATAGCTTATTGTCTCGCTAATTTCATTTTCTTTTTCTATAGTCATTCCTAGAACTAGATAATTAAAATAATAGTGTGAGGGATATGTGCATGGTAGCACATGGTTGTGAACCTGTGTTCTGAAACTAAGCTGCTAATGTGTGTTAAAGAAATTGCCTTTGGTCATCAGTGAGGTCATTTGCCAAAGAGAAACTGGGATTTCAGAAACCTTTGTTGTTGAGCTTGGATCATCCATTTAGCTGTTGCCATACCTCTTTTCTTGTTTTGTCGGAATAAAAAATATTCATTTTGACACCTATCACATATTCCCTGAAATACTGTACAGCACTCCCATCCTCTGTACCCTTAAATATCGCTATCTGAATGACACATCTGCCTTCTTAATAGTTACCTCATTTACTTTGAAGTGTACAACCAGTCCATATTAAATTGCTAAGCATTATTTTATCTGTCTTGTAAGAGCTTTTTTGCATTGCTAAAATTGCCAGCCCCAAAATACCACTGACATTTTTCTTTTAGTGAACTTCCTTCAACGTGCAAATACTTGATGCAGGCCTAAACCTAAAAACTGCAGAGGTGAAAAATAGGTCTCAACATAAATGGAAATGAATGTGCTTCTGTCTCGCTGTAAATGGTCATTATTGTTTTAGTGGTTAAACCTTTCTCTTAAGAATTGTTGAATTTTTTTTAGGCAAGCCCATCTCTTCACCTTTTGCCATGCCTTTTCTTTTGATTACTAGGTTTGCCTTCTATTTTTCCCCCTGACAAGTTAATATTCTGGCTTACTGTGAACACTTTAGCTAGCCTCTGCTACAGGTATCAACTTGCAGAGACCTGATTTATCAATTTACTGGGCATAGAGGCTCTCTGTGAATGTGGCAGTTGCTTTGAAGGAAACATCTGAAGTACCATCATGAAATGGAAGGGGCTAAAGTTTGTCTTTTTTTTCAGTACTGCAGGAGAAGGTTCCGGTCTCATTATTTTTACTTCTCTGCCTTTTTGGGAAAAAAAACTACCTGGAAGGAAAACACATCTGTCATTACATGGAAAAATCCTGTTACATGGGAAAGTCCAGCTTACAGTGGTTCCTTGCTTGATGACGTTAATTCATTCCAGCGAAATCGCTTGAGAGCGAAAAGTCATCAAGCGAAATAAAAAAAAAACCATTGAAACACATTGAAAACCGTTCAGTGCATTCCAGTGGGCTGAATACCTGCTCATCCCGGGAAGATCCTCCATATGGCGGCCATTTTTGTGCCTGTAAAGCGAGGAATCCATCCTAGAAAACAGCGGGGGGCCATTTTCTTCAGCCGGTGGCCATTTTGAAAGCCGACGATCAGCTGTTTGCTGATGGTCGTAAAGTGAAAATCGGTAAGATCATTGCACAGTGAAAAAAACCCATTTAAAACATCATTTTGCGATCGCAAAAGCGACCACAAAAACGTCAACGTAAAGCGGATTCGTCGTAGAGCGGGGTAATCGTTCAGCGAGGCACGATTGTATTTTGCCCAGGTAGCAGCAGGTTCCATCTTGTGTGTTCAGTCACATATGTCAATGGCTCTTGTGTTCTTGTTACCTTTTGTCAACCTTAATGCAGGGCATGGATTCAACTGTAGAGTACCTAATGGCTGACACAGATTCCTGATTGTTGATTATTTTTGAGAAAGCAGTAGCCTTTAGGATAAGGAAGGAGAGGAGTTTGGAATAGGAGCAGAAAGAAGATAAGCAGCAATATCCAAGTGATTTACAGGAGAGCAGCAGGGGTTTGCAACTACCAGTGGTTTGGGGATGGTGATAACGAAAAGCCTTATTTCACTTTCACATAAACTGAAGAAATCAAGAAAGCTTGAAAAGGGAACAGAAGTATATTTGTATGTGAAAGAACCTCGGAGTGTTCCCAGTCCTGTTTTTTTTGTCATATGTTCAAGGTACTTTGTTCCACAGTTCTGTGTCTGCCTCCTAGGCTACTGCATCTGCCTACCACAAGCTTAAAGTATGCTCAGCTCTGGACTTTGACTTCTGCTTTTGGCCCAAGTGCCAGGAAGTTGGTTCCACTGTTAATTGTATTAAACTGAATCTGATATGCTTCTTTTGTTGATATCCCCTGTAAGGTTCATACAGTAATTAAGTTTCAGCAAACATGGGTGTAAGTACCATGCTATTACAGCTCCATTAGCCAAATATTTAGCTGATCATCATCATTATCATAATCATTTTAGAACTGCAGAACTGGAAGGCACTCTGTAGATCATTGAGTCCAGCCCTGGTCAAGATGAAGCCTTGAACAGTCTTGTTTCCAGGGATGTAATATCACGAGGTGATGGCAGCACTTGACCAAGGAATGATTGCGTTGTCTTCAGTTGTTCTGAAGTACTATAGATCCTTTATTTTGATGTGAAGCAACATGAAACCCATGTTTATTTCTCAGTTTTCTGTAGTAGTGGATTTCAAAACTTTGTACAGTGTAAGAATCTATTGGGTTTATTTGCTGACAAGCATGTCTCCCATAGACTTCTGCATGTTGTGAAGAATTTTGGATTTTTAGCTTGGTGTGTTAGTTCTAGGAACATGCCATTTGGGATTTTTGGAATACAGGTCCCATAATTCTCCCTTCTGGGAGTTTCACTGGACAGACAGCTCACTTGGAAGAAAGGCCTAAACTTGAAGGCTTTGTGTCTTAGCTAGGCTTAGCTCTG